TCTCTCTCTCTCTCTCTCTCTCTCTCTCTCTCTCTCTCTCTCTCTCTCTCACACACACACACACACACACACACACACACACACGGAAAGTAAGCTGCTATGCTTCTTATAGAACCCAGGACCGCCCTGGGCTGGATCCTCTCCCTTCAGTGACTAATTAGAAAAATGTTCTATAGCATTTTCTTATTTAAGGTTCTCTCCTTTCATATAATTCTGGGTTCTGTCAAGTTGACATAAAACTAGTCAGCACAGGATCCTGGTTTTTATAAAGCGCAGACTATGTGTGTGCTACAAAGAAATTAAAGAGGAATGAGCACCGTGTGAGGATGAGCACCGTGTGAGGATGAGCGCCCTGTGAGGATGAGCGCCATGTTTCTCTTTGAGTTGGTGCCAAGCATCTGTTCACCAGTCTTGTCTTTTATTTACTTTTAATTTCATCTTTGAGTGGGTGTTAGGGCCTTGGTCTGGCGACTGCTTTACTGTGAGCTCCACTTCCAGCCCTCAGCAGTAGTTCGCTGTGGACGGGGTAGGAAAATCTCAGGCTACCCTGCTTCGTTTCTGGTAAGGTAGTCCCATAGACCCAGGCAAGTAGGTTGAAGCAGCCAGGACAGACTACTACAGGCCCGGAGTGAGGGCGGTTTGTAAGTTTTCTAATGGATGTGCTTTCAACTAGAGGGGACAGAAGACTTCTTCATTTGCAAACAATAGCCTCATGATGTGCTGCGGAGACCTGGTGTGGAGGGAGGTGGGGGGACTGCTGATAGGAGACTAGGATGAGCGGGTGAATACCTAGGGAGAGCTGTCAGGCTTCAGTCCTGCACGTTACACTTCTCCAACCTCACAGTGCCTTGCTCAGTGCCTTACCACACTTAACGTCCTTCATTGCATTTCTATTCTACTGGAGACCCTTTCTCCTCCACCTCTATGCTTTCAACTTTTAAAAGATTTACTTGATGTGAGTACACTGTCACTGTCTTCAGACACACCAGAAGAGGGCATCGGATCCCACTACAGATGGTTGTGAGCCACCGTGTGGTTGCTGGGAATTGAACTCAGGACCTCTGGAAGAGCAGTCGGTGCTCTTAACCACTGAGTTACCTTTCCAGTCTCTATGCTCTCAACTTTTAAGATCTAAATCAAATGTAATCTCCTACAAAATGGTCCTAACTTTGTTTTACAGTTAATCAAAACCATTCATTCATCCTGGAAATATTAAGCCTCTGTTGAGCGTGAGGCATGGCTGGCCATTGTGAATATAGTATCTAGTCACAGTACAGGTCAAATTATATGCTCAGTTCCTTCAGCACTTCCATGTGAGGATGGAACTGCTCAAACGTTTTTGGCAGCACCCTCACTTAGTTGGCGTTGGCCTTGTTTCCAAGGCCTGCTTCGTGATACCTTCTTCACCCTTCATGTGTCCCAGCCCCTGGAATTTACTTAATATGGACCTGTCTCTTCCTTTTCCAGGCTGTTGCTTGTTTTCCTGAGGCACTTCACGTATCACTTCATACTTGGTTCTGGAAACAGTTCCTGTGTGAAATCTTCTCTAAAGACTCCGCCATTTGTTTCCCAAACCCTACAGTGGCAGGATTCTCCTTTGAGGTTAGCAATTTATATTTAATTATATACTATTACAAGTTTTGTATGACCGTCTATCTTCATCAGATAGTTGGCTACTCAATAGTTAAGGCCTTCTGGCCATCTCTGCATCCTCAGTCCCCAACATAAGCAAGGGACTAGTTGGTGATGGCTTAATGAATCACATGATTTGGTTGAACAACTACCTTTTTTGTTTTTTTTGAAATGGGGTTTCTCTGTGTAGTACTAGTTGTCATGGAACTCACTGTAGACCAGGCTGGCTTTGAACTCACAGAGATTCACCTACCTCTGCCTCCTGAGTGATGGCTAGCTCAGACTATCTATCTTAATGATGCTATGAGGTAAGAGAGTGGAGCGGAATGGTGGCGGCGACGGTCCCTGCTGTGTCAATGTAACTGTGCTAAAGCTGGCAATGAAAGTACATCTTTAACTCCGCCAGGAAAGGAAACTACTAGGAAGTGGCTGGGCAAGGCATGGCCTCCGCCCCACCATGCTAAGTCCTCCTTACCTGTTTCTTGAGTTGGGATTCTTTTTTTACTCTGAAAGTAATGTTGATATCCTAGTAGATATAAATTGAAGAAAGCCATCTCAGTGGCCCCTTCTCTTCAGAATGTTGACACTGGAGCACCAGGTTCTAGTAACCATGGTAAAGGCTTGATGCCTTACCGTAACTGGCATCGCCTTTGTCCAATGAAGCACAGGATTTATGGGCTCACTGTGGAGTTGGAACTGAGTGAGCTAAATAACTTCAGGAAGCTCGAGGAATCAGGTTTCATTACTTTTTATTTTGTTGTTGTTTTTTTTCCAAGACAGAGTTTCTCTATTTAGTAGTCTTGGCTGTCCTAAAATTCGTTCTGTAGACCAGGCTGGCCTCGAACTCACAGATCTGCCAATCTCTGCCTTCTAAGTGCTGGGACTAAAGGTGTGTGCCACCACTGCCAGGCTCATTACTTTTTTTTCTTTTTTTTTCGAGACAGGGTTTCTCTGTGTAGCCCTGGCTGTCCTGGAACTCCCTCTGTAGACCAGGCTAGCCTTGAACTCAGAAATCCACCTGCCTCTGTCTTCCAAGTGCTGGGATTAATGGCGTGCACCACCACTGCCCAGCATTTTTTTTTTCATTAATTTTCATTTTATTCACTCTGTAGACCAGGCTGGCTTGAACTAAGAGATCCACCTGCCTCTGCCTCCCGAGTACTGGATTAAAGGTATGAGTCACCGCTGCTGGCCTCCAGCCTCATTAAAAAAAAAAAAAAATCACGCTTTTATCCTTTGAAAACTTTAATTAGTGCAATGTATTTAATCACCTGCATCCACCCCACCTTCCTCCAACTCCCCCAGATGCCCTCCAATTTGTCTCCTTCCTAACTGCATGGGCTCCTTTCCCCACACAGTGAGTCCAGCTAGTGCTACCTATTTGCACATGGGTGTGGGGTCATCCTCTGGGGCATGGGCACCCAAAAGAGAGTGACTCTCCCTCAGCAGCCATCAGCCTCCAAGGATGGGGTCTGAGAGCCCTGTCCTGTCCTCGCTGGACTGTTGACTGGCCTGACCTGGTGCAGGTAAGCACAGCCATGGGGAGCTGATGTGCACAACAGCCAGGCCTCGTTCCCCATCTACCAGCACCTCCCAAGCCCCTCCCCTTTTGAGACAGGGTCTTACTATGTCCTGGAACTCATGATGTAGACCAGACTGGGCCTCAAACTCAGAGATCTGCCTGCCTCTGCCTCCAGGACAGCTAGGGCTGTTACACAGTGAAAATAGTATCTCCAAAAAAAAAAAAAAAAGTTTCCTTTGCGGTCAGTGAGATGGCTCGGTTGAGTAAAGGTGTCTGACACTAAGTCTGATGACCTCATGCTCAGTCTTTGTTCCTGTGGTAGGAAGAACATTCTGAAGTTGTCCTCTGACCTCTAGCCTTACACTGAGGCATGTGAAAGCCATGTGGCATGCACAAGCACATGTATATACATTAAAAAATAATTCCCTGGAGAGGGGAAGCCAAGGAGGACTGGGGGGAGGAGAAACTTCAGTTGGGATGTATATGAGAGAAAAAAACTCAAAAAGAAACAGAGACATAAATAAAAAATGGGAACATTTTTATTATAATTTTTTTTTCCTTTTTGGTTTTTCAAGACAGGGTTTCTCTTTATAGCCTTGGCTGTCCTGGAACTCACTCTGTAGACCAGGCTGGCCTCGAACTCAAAAGATCCGCCTGCCTCTGCCTCCCAAGTGCTGGGATTAAAGGCGTGTGCCACCACCACCCTATAATTTTTTTTTTGAGACAGGATCTCTCTGTGTAGTCCTGGCTCTTGTTAGGAATCCCAGGTAAACATCCTGTTCAGGTTGAAAAGCTGGAGCCTTGAACTTAGGAAATTTCCACGTGGTGCTGGTGGAACTTTCCACAGGGTACAGGCAGTTTTGGTTCTCCATGAGGACATCCTAGGATACTGTGTGTGCGGCTTCTAAACTATTTAGTCTTTATGCACCGTGCCTCAGGGCATTTCAGGTCATCAGAGGATAACTAGAATCAATTCTCTCCTTTGATCTACGATGGGGGGAGGGTGTCCCCTCCCCACCACTGAATTCACATCAGAGTCTGCAGCAGCCTCTCCTACCTGCTAAGCCATCTCGAGGGGCCCCTCATCCACACAGACACATGTCCCAGAGGGCTTCTGGTGTAAAAATCATAGCCTCAAATCTTCAAGATCGGCTGCCAATCCCCAGGCCAGTGGGTGGATACAGTGTGCTCTTGGTAAACAAAGATATTGGTAAACAGCAGATCTGTAATTCGGGATTTTGTGAACATCAGTACTGAGTTCAACGCAGCGACAGAGGCCTGGGGACAAAGACACCCTGGAGTAGACAGGAGGCCGAGGCGGACATCAGTCCCAGCTTGCTTTTTACAGCCTCACAAAGTGGACTTGGAGCTGAGTCCAGGGCGCAAATTTATCTCTGGATCTCCTCCTGATAATCATTCCCCAGGCAGAGTACAAATTATCTCCTGATCTCCTTCGCTAGATAACCTTTCCCTACTGGGTGGGTTTCCTAGAACTACTGACCTGACCGGCAAGGGCGCTTGCATAGCCTTAGGGACCTGACTGGATGTCTGGAAGATGAGCCGGGAGAGCTTATCACATTCACTGACAAGAGGAAAGAATGCAAAAGAAAAAAGGCCCCGTGACCTAAAGGATAAACCATCAGCAGCGTTCGCGAGCGTTGGCGGGGTGGCGCGCGCCTTTAATCCCAGGGCTCAGGCAAAACCCGCCGCATTCCTGAGTTCCAGGGCTGCCATAAATAGTTAATTAATAAATAAATAGAAAGGACATAAGATCCCTCTACCAGGGCAGCCATAAATAAATAGACAAATAAATATTAAAGAGAGAAAAAGACCCCTCTACCCTCCAAACCCAACTAACCAAAACACTTCGTATCCTTTGGACGTGGAAGCATGAAATCAGTAACGTTAATTTTATTCCTTCCAGTTGATTGTCGGCAGTGAAACCGAGGAAAGGCTGCTACAAACCGGCTGAACCCAGGAGCCTTTTAGCAGCTTTAACGTTTCCGCACAGGGCAGGGCCACTCACAGTCCTTGTTTTCTCTCGGTTTTCTGAGACAGTCTCGTGTATTTTCCCTGCCACTAGCTCCGTAAGCCCGGTATTATAAAGGTGCCTCCATCACGAACGTCCTCGGAATAGATCCAGCGGAGCTCAACGAGATTCAATCAACAGCCGCAGGCGTAGGCGACCTTAGCACAGTTCTCGCGCGGAGAGACGAGACTTTTAAAGGATGACGTCGTGGTCCCGCCCACCGGGGGGATAGGATAATATGACCGACGCCTGAGTCCCGGCTTCCAGTTGGTTCCTAGCCGCGGACTGGCTGCTGAATTTTCTACAGGGTGTCGCAGGGATCATTCCGGAAGTAGGCGCTCGAATCTTCGTCTTCCTGGGCGGAAGTGTGTCACAACCTGGTGGTCGACCCTTTGGAGGAAGTTCGTCACGTCGCAGTTGTCTGGGCACGGCGGATGTGTGTCGCCGCTTAGGTGACGCTGGGAAGTGCTTGCAGCCCCCGCCGCTGCCTCTTGGTTGAAGCACTATGGAGGGAGAGAGGAAGAACAACAACAAACGGTGGTATTTTACTCGAGAGCAGCTGGAAAACAGCCCATCGCGTCGTTTCGGCGTGGACTCAGATAAAGAACTATCTTATCGCCAGCAGGCGGCCAATCTACTCCAGGACATGGGACAACGTCTTAACGTGTATCCTTGCGGCCTAGGCCATCTGCCTCCGAGCGCGTCCGGCCACGCTTCGGCGTCCAGGCCGGCGACGCTGGCGGAGCAGCGGTGGGTAAGGTGGTGGCAGGAGCTGGGCGTCTAGTGGGGAGAGCCCACAATGGCGCTGGCCGAGCCACTGTTCGCGGGAGGGAAGTGAGGCGGAGTCAATTTCCCGCTCGATCACCGGTGCCACCGGCCGGGCTGCGGATTCGTGCCTCTCCTGTCTTTTGTGTTTTCGCTGCTGCTTCCCAACCCTTGTTCCCTGAATTCTGCCCTGTTTTGGTGGCTTTTGAGAGTCTCCTTTCTGCCGTGAGCTAAGACTCCATCTAAGACGTTTCACTATCGACTCTGCCTCCCAAAGTGTATAAAAAGGGTTTCGGGAAATTCTGCACCCAAACGACTTAAAAAGTCTAGTATTAGTGCCCCAGTTTTGGTTCCAGGCCCATTTCTCTCACTAGCTGGCTAACTTGTCAAATTCTCGTTTAAAAAAAAAAAGTTCCAATGTCCATCACAACGCTGGATATTTAAACGTTCTAGTAGCTGTTTCATAGAATTTAAGAGGAAGGGAAGATGTCAACTTAGGTTTGTGGGGCGGGGTATGCGTGTTAATATGCTTAAAGTAGTTTTCAGACTATTAAGTCTTTCTCAGGCACTAGTAATAGTTTGTTACTGTTTATTCATTTGTTTTCAAAATTTAGAGACGTGGTTTAGTGATTTTTTTTTACCCCTCCCCCAGTTGAAAATACAGTCTTTATAGCAAAACTAATAGTTTTAAAGTTCTTTCCATTGTCCATATATATATTCATTTAATTGCAGCTTTCATTTATGTAGCATTTATTTAAGAGTGATTCTGAGGCCTAGACCTAATGTCCTGTGCCTTTGATCCAAGCTTTGGAGAAGTAGAGGCAGGCCAGAACTTTCTAGTAAGACCCTGTCTTTAAAAAAAAAAATGTGCAGAGTTTAGGTCTATGGTGCTTAAGTCTGAAGGTTATATACTGTTCCAAATGGGTTTCCTCTTTATTGCCAGTTGTTTTCTACCTTTTAAATTTGTGTTTAGCTTGTTGTTACCGTATTGTCACCTTTATGCAGACTGTTGCTGAGGTTGGTGGGAATAAGTAAGTACTCTATGTTTTTGGGGAGTTTGGAATGGTACCCGTACAAATGAAAGACTGGATTAGAGGAAGGCAGGGGGTTTATTTTCAATGGATGTCCATCAAGTCATTTCAAAGATTTTCTACTTCAGAGGCCATGTAATATATCCTGAGGAGGTCAGAGCTAAGTAGGGTGTGGTGATGCATATCTTTTTTTTTTTTTTTTTTTTTTTTGGTTTTTCAAGACAGGGTTTTTCTGTGTAGCCCTGGCTGTCCTGGAACTCACTCTGTAGACCAGGCTGGCCTCAAACTCAGAAATCTGCCTGCTTCTGCATCCCAAGTGCTGGGACTAAAGGTGTACCCCACCACTGCCCGGCTTGGTGGTGCATATCTTTAATCCTGTTGCTCAGGATGGGGAGGTGAGCAGATCTCTAATTCTGGTCTACAGAGCAAATTCCAAGAGCCTAGTAAGGGAGGGCCTGGTAAACGTCCTTAACAAGTTATCCTTGTGGGGCTAGAGAGACAGCTCAGCAGTTTAAAGCACTTAGTGTTCAGGTAGTACCTACATGGCAGCCCACAGTTGTCTATAACTGCAGTTCTAGGGTAATCTCATGCCCTCTTCTGACCTCTGGTGCACATACACACAATCAGGCGAGTAAATGCTGATACACTTTAAAAGAACCTGTTTTAAAGTTACTCTTGGTCAGGCAAGGTGGCCCAACAGGTAAAGGCGAGTATCGTCCAGTTTGATAACCTTATCTATCCCTGGGACTCAGGGTGGAAAGATGCCTGCCTCCTGCAAACTGCCCTCTGACCGCCACACTCTTGCTATGGCATGTACCTCCCGCCCAAGTTATCCTGAGCTAAAGGGGTCATCTGCAGAAAGCAAGTGACAAACAGGAAGTCTAAGAGCGGATGTAGCTTTGTATTGCATATTGATTTACACCTTGCTACTTGTTTTGTTTATTGAGTCAATAAGTTCATATTAAGTACCTGTTAGAGCACATGTCAGTTACCAGTTAATTTAGTTAGTGAAGGAAAACGAGTCTGCTGTTGGGTTGGAAGAGTTAAGTTTTACTCTCCTGTGGGATCATCTCTTGTGCTTGGCCATTTGTTACTTTGGGAAGATTATATTGTCTGTTCTTGAACCTTAACTCAGGACTTCAGCTCACAACTGACTATCAATACTGCTATAGTATACATGCACCGATTCTACATGATTCAGTCTTTTACACAGTTTCATCGATACGTAAGTATAATTTTCTATGGTGAAATCTCTTTGGGTTTGAGTCTGGCTGCCTATTTTATGATTGGTTGTTGTTATTGAACTATGACTTTAATTTTAGAATTTAGGGCTAGTCGTTTTAAGGTTAGGAAAAAAGCATGATCTAAGTAGAGCTTTCAGAGTGGTTATGGTCATAAGAAGACAAATATAAGTTAGATTTTGCGCCGGGCGGTGGTGGCACACGCCTTTAATCTCAGCACTTGGGAGGCAGAGACAGGCGGATTTCTGAGTTCGAGGCCAGCTTGGACTACAGAGTGAGTTCCAGGACAGCCAGGGCTATACAGAGAAACCCTGTCTCGAAAAAAAAAATAGATTTTGCAACATTCTTAAAAGTCTTTGAGAAAACATGTTTCATATTTAAGATTAAAAACGATTTGATTTTATTTGTGTGTGTTTGGGTTAGTGAGTGCTAAGTGTGTGAGTGCCCACAGAGGCTAGATGAGGTCGTTGACTTCCCTGGAGCTGTCGATACCAGTGGCTGGGAACTACCTAGGTGGGTACTGGGAACCAAACTACTGAGCCAACGCCAGCCCAGATAAGACTTGTCTTGTTTTGATGCTATAAGGAGAAACTTTGAGGCTACATATAATTCCTGTAATGTAAGGAATTTGCAGAGTCAGACTTGGGGCAATAGGAAATTCTTGGTAAAATCTATGGTTAAGTATTCCTAACTTTGGGTGATTAGTCCTTTTGACTTTTTTTTTTTTTTTTTGCCCTTAGTTCCCTTAGTTTCAACTATCCTTTATTGAGGCTATTTGATAGCAGTGAAACAGAAGTAAATAATGAAGAATGGAACTAAAGAGGAATTCCTTAGTTGTCTTAGTAATTTTGAGGGTTTTCTACATTCAACTTCTCCCCTTCTCTTTTTATTCTTTTCCTCATTCTCCTTTTCTTAACTATGCTGTAATGGCTGGACTTGAACTATCTAGTTCTGGCTGCCTTGAATTTCCAAGAACTGGCATCATGAGTAGGAGGCATATACTCTCTTTTATTATAATAAAGACTTAAAGTCTTTTCTTTTTTTTTGTTTTTGTTTTTCGAGACGGGGTTTCTCTGTGCAGCCCTGGCTGTCTTGGAACTCTGTGGACCAGGCTGGCCTTGAACTCAGAAATCCGCCTGCCTCTGCCTCCCAAGTGCTGGGATTAAAGGCGTGCGCCACCGATGCCCGGCAAGACTTAGTCTTAAATCAAGTTGTTCAGTGTGCATTTAATTAAGTGTTAGTATATATTTCCTTGTTTAATGACATGCTTTCTTATTGCCTTTGTGTTAGTCTTGGTTAAGACAGACTTCTGTTTATTTCCAAAGTACTTGCAGTAAGCTTGTTGAATTAATGACCTGGTGATAATTTCATTACAGAGACATTCTTTTGGATATCATATCCTTTGTTTTTATTTGTCTGTTGTTCTGAGACGGCCCCACTATGCAGCCCTGGCTGGCCTGGAACTCAGTGATTCACCTGCCTTTGTCTTCTGAGTACTGACATTAAAAAGGCAAACACTACCATAACTGGCGTCCTAACTAGGTAGTTGATCTTCTTTAGAGTTATTTTTTGGTATATCCTGGAATCAGCACTCCCTCTTTATATAACAGTAATTTTTATAAGTTGAATTTAGCTGTGATCAATTAAAATTAGATTTAAGAGGACTTAAAACACGATGGCATTGGTGTTAAGCTTGTTGAGCCTGCTCCTGTGGATTTGTGTGTGAGTGCAGTTCACACTTGGTGTGGTGTACATCTGTAAGTCAGAGGACATGTTTGATTCTCTTCCTCCATGGGTCAGGTTGTGAAATTTGGGCAGTTGTGCGTCAGGCACTTTTGCCTGCTGAACCATCTTGCTGGACACCTTAGGAATTTTGATGTATTACAAATATAATGAATTTGCATAGTAAAAATTAAAGCTAGAGAAACAGATGCATTGAAAGCTCCCCTATGCCTGTAGAGGTAATCACTAATCAATATTTGACATGCAGTTTCCCAGGCGTGTTTCTGTATATGAACTAGTATGATCGTGCCTCACCCTATCCCTATTGTACAGCTTTCTGGAACATTCTCTTTATGCTGTTTCTCGTAATTTAGGTGGCTGGAAGGTGACAGGACATGGTAGTACACACCTGTAATTTCAAATCTTGAGGGCCAAGGCAGGAGGAGCTAAAGAGTTTGAGGCTAGCAGATCTTGTCATGGACAAACAGAACCATGTTGAGGGCTAGGAGATGTATCAGTTGGTCAAATGCTTGTCATTCAAGCATGACCGCTTGAGTTTGATCTTCTCAAATTCTGTAAAAGAAGTCTGGGGGGGGGGGAGAGGCAGGTGTACATGCTCATAGATAGAAATAAATAGAAAAAGAATTTAATTTTTTATTTATTTATTTATTTTAATGTAGGGGTGCTCTGTCTGCTTGTGTACCTGCTTGCAAGAAGAGGGGATCAGATCCCTTTATGTGGTCTTGAGCCACCATGTGGTTGTTGGGAATTGAACTCAAGACCTATGGAAGAGCAGCCAGTGCTCTTAACTGCTGAGCCATCTCTCCAGCCTGGAAAAAGAATTTTTTGAAAAATATTGGCATAATGGCACATAGGTGTAATTGCATCACTGGGGAGGAGGAGATGGGACTCTTCTGGCTTACTAGCCAGCGCTCGGCGAAGTTCTTGAGTCCAGGCTAAGGGAGAGAGCATGTTTAAAAAAGAAAATATGGAGAGAGATTGGAACACATTGCTGTCCTCACACAAACACGCTGAAAATAACTCGTATGTATGGACGATTTTCCTGACTACATGTTTGTGCCCTGTGTGCTTCTTGGTGTCAGAGGAGATCAGAGCTGGGCATCATATGCCTTGGGACTAGAGTTCCAAGTGGTTGTGAGCTGCCATGCTAGGAGTCAAACCTGTGTCCTCTGGGAGATCAGCTAGTGAGTGCTCTTAACTACAGAATTATCTCTCTATCTCCAGAATGGTTTAAGAAGGGTCTCAAGGACTTGGGGGTGTGGTTCTGTTTGCATGCTTTGCATGTGTGAAGCCCTAAGCTGGGTTCTCTACACTGGACAAAGGAAAAAAGGAAGTGGCTCTATAGTATTCACATCATTACCATAGTTCAACTAGTTCTCTGTTGGTGGATATTCTGTTTGATTCTGATGTGTTGTAAAAATATTTCTTGGGGCCTGGTGGTGGTGATGCACGCCTTTCATCCCAGCTCTTGGGAAAAAAAATCTCTGAGTTTGATAACAGCCAGGGATACACAGAGAAACTCTGGTGGGGTGGGGAGGGGATGTATATCTATATATATTTAAAAAATTCTCCTCCCGTAGTCTTATATGTGCATAGATCAGTTAAACATTTTCATATAAGTGCCAAGGGTGTGCATAAGTATTTGCTGTCAGTTTGCCCTGCTGAAAGCATTTATCAGTGTATTGGTTCCAGTAGTGTAAGGTGTCCTCCCACTCTTTGTTCCCAGTAGTGTCAGATCCTCCCACTGTTTCTGTGCACTTGAATTAAGGACTCAACAGCTGAATTTCCAGAAGTGCTGTTTCAAGTCTTTTCAAGTGAGGAAATATAGACTTTTCACTAAATTACTTCTGATGTTTTTGTGTTTATGTCGTATTTTATACATTTAAAAAGTCTTGGGGCTATGTGTATGACATACAGTGTGTATTTAGCATGCTAGAGGTTTTAGGTTCAATCCATAACACCAAAAGAAAAAAGGACCCGTATTTTAATAGCAACAGATTTGGATATATTTTACCTTCATTAAGTTGATTTAAAAAAAAAAATTTAGGCCAGCCATGGTGCCTTTAATTCCAGCATCCAGGAGGTAGAGGCAGATGGATCTCTACGAGTTCCAGGCCAGCCTGGTCTACAAAGTGAGGCAGGGTGTTATACAGAGAAATCCTGTCTCTTTTTTTTTTTTGTTTGTTTGTTTGTTTTTTTCTAGACAAGGTTTCTCTGTGTAGCCCTGGCTGTCCTGGAACTCACTCTGTAGACCAAGCTGGCCTCAAACTCAGAAATCCGCCTGTCTCTGCCTCCCAAGTGCTGGGATTAAAGGCGTGCGCCACCACTGCCTGGCAAAATCCTGTCTCAAAACAAAGCAAAAACAAAAACGTGAAGTGTAGTTATTAAAAGTATGTATACTGTGGTCAGACATGTCTAGATTTGGAAGTTTGCTGATTTGCTTACTAGCTGTGTGGCCTATACATGTGACCATATGCCTCAGACTTCTATCTCTGTTCAGTAATGATAATGTCTGTTTCCAGAGGAGTTTATGGTATTTAAATTAATTTTCAGATGTCCTGTCCAAAACAAGCAGTTGATAAATATTAGCTGTGCTTGCTTGGTTTTTGTTATTTTAATGAAGAAAATGTATAGTCTAAACTGGTATAAAAATACCTCTTAGAATTAGTTGCAGGTGCCTATAATCTTATTTTAGGGAGGCTGAGGCAGAGGGTGCCAGTTTGAGGCTAGCATTGTGTGACATAGGGGAACCTTGTCTTTTAAATAAAAAGATTCTGGTCTAGTAATAGTGGGAAGGGTGCTTGCTGCCAAGCTGACAACCTGAATTCAATCCCTGGAGAGGTAGTGGCGGACTGACTGGGTCAAACCTAGGGCAAGCACTCTGCCAATTGATACACTTCCAGTGCCTTCCTTTCTTAATCTGTTCATCTAGAACAGATTGACATCTAGACTGGTTCCAATTTAGCTTTTAAGAATAGTGGAAGAAAAGAGAAGGTTGTGCAAATATCTTTGCAGCATGCCAGACTAGAAAATTATGATTTAGGTAACAGTAAGGATTACGATGTTTTAGTTTTTATTATTATGGTTAGTTAGTCTTTGAGAACTTTACTTGTAAATTGGCTTGAATTATTTTTCTTCCCTAAATATTTTCTATCTTTTGACTTTGATATTTTGTTTTTTTGTTGTGTAGTATGTGTGTCCTCACCCCCCACCCCCACTCCAGGCGTTCTCTGTATAGCCTTGACTGTCCTGGAACTCACTATGCAGACTAGGCTGGCCTGAACTCAGAGCCTGCCTGTGCCTCCTCAGTACTGGGATTAAAGGTGTGTGACATCACTGTCAGGTTTTTTGTTTCTGTTTTTGTAGTCTTGTGTAGCCCAGGCTGACCTTGAATTCACTATGTGAATGAGGATGACTGAATTTACGGATCTAGTGCTGGGACTATAGGGTACACCACTATGTTGGCCTGCTTTCTCCCCCCTCTCCCACACCCAAACACACACATTTTTCTTACATGGCATTGGGTGTAGAACCAGTACTTTGTGAATGGAAGGGTAAGTACCAAATGAGGCCACATTCCTACTACCTGTAATTCTTTTTTTAAAAGATTGGTTTATAAGTTAAAAAAAGTTTTTATTTTTTTTTAATCCATTAATATTTTAATTTGATTGCCTCCTCAGTTTTTATTTTTTTATTTTTATTTTTTTCCCCTTCCCTTCTTCCTCTTGCTCCGTCCCTGCTCACTCTGGCCTGGCCCTGCTAGTTTTTATTTTTAAGACAAGATCTCACTATGTAGTTTCTGGGACTCACCATGTAGACCAGGCTGACTTTTGAACTCAGAAATCTAAAAGAGTGCTGGGATTGCAGGTGTGGGCTGCCACACCCAACTAAAACATTTTTATTTAGTATGTGTGTTGTATACATTTGTGTGTTTTCCTGTGTGTAGGGGGCAGAGACTAGAGGGTGGACATCAAGTCTTGTATTGGTATCTATTTTTTTGAAATAAGGTCTCTCACTGAATGTGGAGCCTGGTCTTTTGGCTAGACTGGGTGGCCACTGAGCCGCAAGTATCCACCTATTTCTATACCGTAACTCTGGTATTTTAGATGTGCTGTTGTACTTGGGTTTTATGTATGCTGGAGTTTTAGACATAGGTCACCACTTCATCTACTGGGCTCCCAAATTTATTCTTAAAAATTCTACAATTCTCCCCCACCCCCATATTCACAAAATTAGGCAGCCGTCAGCAGTGTTTGTTTCAGACCATTTGTATTAATTGTTTCTTTTTAGCAGTCCTTTCAGTGGGAAGCAGCTAAGGTCTGCAGCCTTCTCACATGAATGCCTGAGGGCTTGTGAGGAGTGGGGTTGTGATTCGACAGGTGGCAGAAAGTATTAATAAGAGGTACGAGGATGTGGCAGAGAGTTGATTTAACATTTAGCTCTTCTTTAGATTGATTACCATTTAGAAATAACAGTATGATCTTTTTTTTTTTTCTTCTATGAAGTCTATGGCTCCAGCAGCCTTGTTTCTAGCAGCAAAAGTAGAAGAACAACCAAAAAAATTGGAACATGTCATCAAGGTAGCACACACTTGCCTGCATCCACAGGAGTCCCTTCCTGACACGAGAAGTGAGGTAAGTGATTATGCACGCTTGTGAAAATCAGAACTTCATTTTGTAACTTTGAATCTGGGCTGTTAAACTTTTCAGTTTAATTTTTGTTTCTTTTTTTTTTTTTTCCTGAGATGGGATGATGGGATTTCTCTGTATAGCCATGGCTGTAGACCAGGTTGGACTTTAACTCACATAAATTCTTCCACTGTGTACCACCACTGCCCTGCCAGTGTTTACCCTTTTAAAAAAAAAAAAAAAAAGATTTATTTTGTGTATGTGAGTACACTGTCAATGTCTTCAGACACACCAGAAGAGGGCATCAGATCCCATTACAGATGGTTGTGAGCCACCATGTGGTTGCTGGGAATTGAACTCAGGACCTGCAGAAGAGCAGGCAGTGCTCTTATCCACTGAGCCATCTCTCCAGCCCCGCCAGTGTTTAATTTTGAAAATTAAAAACACATGTATCAATTTTATCTAAGTTTGTCTTAAAATTGAAAGCTGCATAAGATCAAAGAGGAATTAATGACCTGAGTAAGTTTTTTTCCAGCCTCTATCTCTCTATATCCAAAATATTTTCTTGTTCTCTCCTGTTTGAAAATGAGCAGATAGTAGTCCATCATAAACACACACACTGATCTCTAACCACCCTGTCAGGAAGCAGACAAAAGGTCAGCTTTTTTGGTTTTGATTTGTTTTGAAGACAGGGTCTCTAAGTAACCCTGACTGTCCTGGAACTCATTCTGTAGACTAGTCCAACCTTGAACTCAAAGGGATCTGACTGCCTTTGCCTCTGGAGTGCTAGGATTAAAAGTGTGCACCACCACCGCCTGGCTGTTTCCAGCCTTTCCTTGATTGGTATAAGCGTTCTTTTTGTTGGTTATTTTCCTTCCTTCCTTCCTTCCCTCCTTCCCTCCCTCCCACCCTCTCTCCCTTCCTATTTTTCTTTCTCTCTTTTTTCCTTTTTTTGTTTGTATTATTTGTTTGTGTAGAGTCAGGGTTTCTGTGTGTAGCTCTGGCTTTCCTGGAACTCACTTTATACTAGCCTAGCTTTGAACTAAGAGACTGTCTGGATTGCCTCTATTTCCCGAGTGCTGGGATTAAAGGTGTGTACCATCACACATGACTTCTTGATGTTATAAGCATTTTTTGTTGTTGTTTTTCAAGACAGGGTTTCTCAATGTAGCCCTGGTTGTCCTAGAACTAGCTCTATAGAATAGACTGAGCTTGACCACCTGCTTCTGCATCCCGACTGTGGGGATCCAAGGCCTGTGCTACCTGGCTACACTATAAGCTTTCTTTAAAGGTAGTTTTGTTGTGGAGGTTTTTGTTTTGTTTTGTTTTGTTTTTTAATGAGAAAGGGTCATTTTCAGTCTGAAAATGAAACAAATGCCTAGAAATAAGTGTGTTCATTTTTACATTTTAGCCAAAAGACCGAAAAGCATTATGGTCATTATTAGAGTTCATACTGTTTTATTTTTTCAAGTCATCGGTAAAACTCTTAAAAATCATTTCAGATTAGAGTTCATCTCTTTTCCTGTGGTAAGAATACTGTTGAATGCAGTTCCATAGATACTCTGGACCTTCATCCTGTGTGTATATACATTTCTTTGATTTTCACTTGTGCTTCCTTGGGGTGTGTGTGTGTGTGTGTGTGTGTTGGTGATGTTAGGTGTTGAATCTAGGACCTCAGAAAATGCTAGGCAAACATTCTATTGAAAAGCCTCTTCCCCAGGCTGGCTTGGTTGTGCGTGCCTTTAACCCTAGCACTTAGGAAACAGAGGGAGGCGGGTCTCTGTGAGGGTCAGCTTGATCTATATAGTGACTCTGAGAGCAGCCAGGGCTACATAGAGACAGCCTGTGGCTGTAAGAAAGAAAAAAGAAAACACACCCATAGTCCTTGACAAAAACAAGGAAGGATAGCTCCTGGTTTCCTTCATTTATTTAAAAAAAAAAGATTGTATATTAAATTAAATATTTATATGTGTCTGTGTGAGTGTAGGTGTCCATGGAGGCGGGAGGTCTTGGATGCCCCTGAAGCTGGAGGTGGAAGCGGAAGTGAGGTGATGAGTGGGAGCCCTGGGTTGAAGAGCACTGTATGCTCTTAACTACAGAGCCAGCTCTCCAGTTCTGCCTTTAGAAGTCAGTGATTGGAGATGTGGAGAATTCTAACACCCATAATTGAGGAAAAGTTAAAGATTTGTTACTAGCTTATTTAAGTCTTTTGTGGGTGTAAGAATCATGGTTTATGAAGAAGATATATGGAATTTTATATATGTTTTTATTTTATTTCTGTATTGTTCTAATTTTAGTATGTGCTACAGAAGCAAGCATTGGTTCCACTTTATCACTGATGAAAAACAACCTAAGGGAAGAAGAGATTCCTTTTGGTTCATAGTTTCTAAGATTTCAGCCTATGGTTACTTAGCTATATTACTTTTGGTCCCATGGCTATGAGGCAGAGCATCATGGCCAGGAAGGAGCAGGTGGGGAGAGCAAAGTGCTCATCTGGTGGGAGAGCAACAGCATTGAGCCAGGGACGAGATGCACTCTTTGAAGGGTGTGCTTCTGTGACCCACTTCCAAGACCCAACCTTCTGGTTTCCTTCACCTCCCAAACAGTGCCATCAGATTACAACTGCATCTGGATTACTCCATTGATGAGGTCAGATTGCTCATGATTCAGTCACTTCCTAAAGGCCTATCAGCTGAAAGCCACACCTTAACTTTTAAATATGTGGTGTGCCTCTGTGTGTGTTTGTGCTTGCGAGCCAGCCACAGCCAGCCAGCCAGCTATGTGTAGTGGCCAGAACAGAGTTTTGTGGCATAGGTTCTTTCCCCCTTTACCTGGGTTCCTGGGATCAGACTCAGGTGCCTAGTCTTACAACATCTTAACTGCTGAAACATCTCTTTAACCTGACACCTGGACCCTTTAACACATGAGACTGTGGGAGACATTTCATACTCGAACCATAACAACTTTTTCCCTCTGCAGAGCATAGTCACATAATTCCTTACTTTGAGCATTAAGCCCAAATGAAGTAGTAATAGGAAGATTTTTTCAGTATATGGAAAAAAAAGCTTGTGTATTGTATTTTTTTCCCCCCTTTTGTTTTTCGAGGCAGGGTTTCTCTGTAGACCAGGCTGGCCTCGAACTCACAAATCCACCTGCCTCTGCCTCCCAAGTGCTGGGATTAAAGGTGTACCCCACCACTGCCCGGCATAACAAATTCTCAATTCTCTCTTCGTGAAGCACTAGCTATTCTTAAAATATCCCAGAAGCGAGTCTTAAGAAGAAACAGCTTTGATGCAGTTGAAGAATCAAGCAGGTAGCTGGAACAGCAAGAATAGCACCTCAGCATTGCCGAGGATGAATCCTGTAAAGGCCTGTCGGTCCTCCTGGTTTTCCATTCCATACAAACCTTACAAGCAATACATAGTTCTATAAAGACATTTGTATGGAATGTACAGGGTGCACAAATCTGTCAAAGATGATTTTTCTACTCTTTGAGCAGATGAAAAACGTCTGTCTTTAGAAGTTAGTTTGGATTATATAGCAGATTGTCATATTAATTTTTATCTATGCCATTTAAAAAGAAAAATGGTTTGAAAAGTCTTGGAGTTTGTAGTCAACAAGGTCTATTGGCCATGCAAAGACATTTTGTGTCTCAGCCAGTCTCAGAGCTGTTCTCAAGTAACAGGATCAGCCCATATGTTACCTGTCCTGTGGATCTTGCCAATCTCTCTCTTTTTGTCTGTAGCCAAGAGCTTCAGGGGGTCATCTCTACCCAAATCTTCAATAATCTGGATGGAAAATACAAGTTTTTTTTTTTTTTTTCTGTTAAAAATGTAACATCAATCTCAATCTCTCTCTCTCTCTCTCTCTCTCTCTCTGTCTTCCTTCATTTTGGAATTAGGGCTTCTATCAGCTGATCTAATTCAGCAGTCCTTTCTAAAATCCAGTGTATTTTAACAGATGTGCTATTTGTCTCATTGGTTCTTTTTAAAAAATTGAAGGATCTTCAAAGATGGTTCTTAACCATTGGTTAAGAGCACTGACTGCTCTTTCAGAAGTCCTGAGTTCAATTCCCAGGAAGCCACATGGTGGCTCACCAACCATCTGTAATAGGACCTGAAGCCATCTTCTGATGTGTCTGAAGACAGCTACTGTGGTGTGTGTGTGGGGGGTGTGTGTGTGTGTGTGTGTGATTTTTGTTTTATTTTTTATTTTTGGTTTGGTTTTTCGAGACAGACTTTCTCTGTGTAGCCTTGGCTGTCTTGGAACTCACTCTGTAGACCAGGCTGGCCTTGAACTCAGAGATCCACCCGCCTCTGCCTCCCAAGTGCTGGGATTAAAGGCGTGCGCCACCACTGCCCAGCGCGCATTTTTTAAAAAAAAAAAATTTTTTTAAAAAATTAAGTCAACAAAGCACATTTTAAACTATCTTTCAGAGCTATCGTATCTTCTGTTCTTTGAGCATTTCCTTCAAAGTCCTGTTAGGTATTTTTATAATGGCTTGACTTCTAGGACTGTATGCTATCTCTACAATAAGTTTCATGTCACAGTGTCCATAAAATTGTTGTATTTTAATGGACATATATGTCTGAGCATCATAGTTTTAATCTGTAAAGGTATCTCCAAGACAGCTATCATCTCTAATGAATCTCAGAATCATCTCCCTCAGAACTCAAGGCAGAAGTCCATTAGAACTGAACATGTGTCAATTGCATGATGTATCAACATGTGTACCTATCTCAATTCTGCAAACTATAAAATGAAACACAATCTATTATGTGGCATTGTTTTAAGTTAGTATCAATAAGCAGAATCTGGAGTCTTAATTCAATATATTATATTTCTGTAGGTTGCCATTCTAATTTCTCAAGCCCCTGTGGAACCTTCCTGTCTGGAACTATTGTTTGTTTGTTTGTTTGTTTGTTTTGGGGTTTTTTTTTTGTTTTTTGAGACAGGGTTTCTCTGTGTAGCCCTGGCTGTCCTGGAACTCACTCTGTAGACCAGGCTGGCCTCGAACCCAGAAATCCGCCTGCCTCTGCCTCCTAAGTGCTGGGATTAAAGGCGTGCGCCACCACCGCCCGGCCAGTTTTCCTTCTTAATCTGAAACTTTTCCCAAAGGATTTTATTTTCTTATATTTAAATTACATATTTCCTTCTATGAGTTTTTTTTTTTTTAATATTTAGTTTTTGTTTAAGCTCAATACCTTATCAGTTTAGACTCTTGGGACTTTTTAGTTTATACCTTGTGGTTCGTAAACCTCACCCCAGCTGTTGAGTTAGCTCAAGGCTCATGGCTCAGCCTTTTCCCATCCCTGGCCAGGCCTCTCCAACCTGCTGTGCTTCGAGAGGATGTCTCCAGACATCCTCCAGTGGTCCCTGGCCCATGTGTCCTGCCATGCTTGTTTGGCTGGTGCCTCTTACTAGACACTGCGCTGGGGACTCTGTGGACCCAGATTAGGCTGCTGTTTTTTTCTGTGGACCTTGGCACTAGCTGTGCTCTCTGCAAAGCAGAGTGCTGACTTTCCAGTGCAGCATGTAGCTCTTGGAAGAACTGCAGCGTGTATGTCTCCTCTCAGCAGCTGCAGGGGTGCAAACCAAGCCTTCCTGGGAGTTGTGGTCTAGCTGGTTCCTAGCCCAGTGTTTTCAGGGTTGTGACTCTACCCAGTATACTCTTAACTGTAGAGCCATCTCTCAGGGGCCTCCATCCATACCTTTGATTGTTTTGTCTTTAAAATTACTTACACTTTTGTGGGATGTAACTTCTGTGTCTCTTCCTCCCCCCCCCCTTTTTAGGCCTACCTACAACAAGTTCAAGATCTGGTGATTTTAGAGAGCATAATTCTGCAGACCTTAGGTAAGTTAATTTTCCCTTAAAGCATGAAAAAACAGTTATAGAGTATAATGATTTCATGTTATTGTAAGACTGAGAGGAAAGCTTTTGAAGACTTTGGGAAGTGTCTGTTCCTGGGTAACGATGGCTGTGGGGCTCATTAAATGGAAACAGACCATTAACCTTGGTCTTTTCCACAGTGTTAGGTCCTTGCTGACCCTTGAAATAGCTATTAGTCAGGATTTTATTTTTAATTTTTCTCATTGTAAGGTTTATGATTTATCTGATAGTTTGCTAGTTGTTTTTTTTGGGGGGGGTGGTTTTTTGGTTGGTTTTGTTGATTTTTTTGTTTTGTTTTTTGTTTTTCAAGAGAGTTTATATGTGTAGCTTTGGCTGTCCTGGAGTCATTCTGTAGACCAGGCTAGCTTTGAACTCAGAGATTCCCTGCTTCTTCCCTTCTGAGTGCTGGGATTAAAGGCATGTGACACAACAGCCTGGCTAGTTAGGTAGTTTTTAACCTGATAAATAATGACAAAAAGGGTCGACTCAACTCTCCTATGAATCGTTATGCTCTGACAGTGTGAATAGTTAATAGCATTTGTTTGTGTATATGCCTCTCTCTTTTTCTATGTGTGTGTGTGTTTTGTTTGCTTGTTTTTATAATGGTTTTATCTTGTAGCCAGATTGGTTTTAAAACTCATAATCTGCCAGACCTCCTTAGTGTGCCGCTATCTATGCATGGCTGAGATTTTTATTTATATCCTCAAAGAAAATGTACTTATGTGAGGTTTTTGGTTTTTGTTGTTGTTGTTTCGAGACAGGGTTTCTCTATGTAGCCCTGGCTGTCCTGGATCTCACTCTGTAGACCAGGCTGGCGTCAAACTCAGAAATCCACCTGCCTCTGCCTCCCAAGTGCTGGAATTAAAGGTGTGCGCCACCACCGCCCGGCGTGAGTTTTTCAATATACTGACCTGTTGAGAAATTTGGTAATAACCTTTTGAGATAGGATAAAACAAGCAGTACACATTATAAAGGAGCTGCTGAAAAGGACCACAGTGAGCTTGAAGATTCTATAACCCAGCTCTCAGGTGCCAGAGGCAGAAGCAAGGTTGCCAGGAGTTGCAGCCAGCTGTTTATATTGGCATTTAGGAGCTGGAGGCAGGAGGATCTTAAATTCAGTAATTCTGAGAAACATAGTAAGTTTGAGGCCAGCCTGGGCTACATGAGACTGTTTCTTCCCATCCTTTACTTCCACAAATGAAAGAGACTAGTTAAGGTTTAGAAGCCGCCATTGTTTGTGTGACTACTTCTTTGAACCTTGTGCTGTATCCTTTTATTCCTAACAAGAATTAAAACATTCTTTTAGGTTTATTTCATTTTAAGTGTATGAGTGACTTACCTGCATGTTTATTTGTGCACCATGTGTATATCTGATGCCCAGAGAGATCAGAAGAAAGCGTCAGGTCCTTTGGAACTGGAGTTACAGTGAGTCACCATGTGGGTGCTGGAAGTCAAACTCAGCCCTCTGCAACACCTAGTCTAAACCAGGGAACCGCCTCTCTGGCCTTCATAAAAAGAGATTTTGTGTTCAGAGGTGGTCTTTAGATCTTACTTGTACCTTCTAGCTGTACCTTCTAGCTCTTTGGAGATGATAAGGGAGAGTGTGAAGGATTTTTTGAGTCACTTTGTCTCTGCACAGTTCTTTTGAAAGAGAAAAGTGAATGGGCCATTAATAATTTGGACAAAAGAGAGATAAATGTATTGAATATTTTTAGCTTTTTTCTTTCTTTCTTTTTGAAGGGTTTGAATTAACAATTGACCACCCCCACACACATGTGGTAAAGTGCACTCAGCTTGTTCGAGGTAAGTAACTGTTTCTGCTTGAATTGCTTAGTTATTTGGGGCTGTCCCTGCTCTGGACTCACAGCTGCTGCCTTGTCCCAGAATTGGACTGAATGACCTGCTTGGCTGGAGTCATACACTTACTTCTGACCTATTGGAAACTGGTTTTGGATCTTTTAATTGAACCAGACTGTGAGGTTAGCATTAGTTGTCATTTTGACAGAATCACTTGGAAGACAGGCCCCTGGGTTTGCCAGTGGAGGATTATGTTGTAATGTCGAGTGGGAAGAGGCGCCCATAGTGGATGGCCTCCTTCCCTGCTGGGGTCAGAGTGTGCAGTAGAGAAATGGAGCCGAGCAGCAGCCTGCAGACAGCGCTCCTGACTCTGTGCAGTGTGGCCGCTGCTTCACGTTCCTGCTCTTGTAGCTCCTCCACCATGGCAGATTGAACTGGGAGTTTTGTCTGAGTGTATGTCAAATAGGAAAAGGAACTTGTCTGGTAGGGTATTTGACAAAGTGTAAGGACAGATTTGGAAAAGTCACCAAGTCACATATAAGTAGCAGTTTTCAGAAAATCTTGAAAGTTGCTGGTGTCGGGCCAGCAAGTGGGTCGGTAGGTAACATCACTTAACTCACAAGCCTGATGACCTGAGTTTGAACCCTGGATCCCACAGTGAGAGGAGAGAACTGACTTCTAAAAGTTGTCCTCTGACTTTGACATGTGCTGTGGTATTCTAGTGCCCTAACCCTGTACAAACACATGAACACAAGTGTAATTCATGTCTAATTAAAGGAAGCCCCAATGATGGTATAGAGCTCATTTGAACTCACTTCTATTACTCGCAATCCATTGGGTAGGATTTTAAAATTATACCATTTATTCTTACTTCTTTTTCTGTGTGGGTGTTTTTGCCTGAGTGTATGTTTGAATGAGATGTGTAGCTGGTACACTTAGCGGCTAGGTGAAGGAGTCAGATCTACTGGAACTGGATTATAGTTGATTAAGAGCCACCATGAAGGGACTGGGAGTCAAATCCTGGTCCTCCTGAAGAAAGACCAGCACTTTTAACTACTGAGCCATCTCTCCAGACCTAATACAATTAGTTAATTCTTTCTTTCTTTCTTTCTTTCTTTCTTTCTTTCTTTCTTTCTTTCTTTCTTTTTTTAAGTTTTTCGAGACAGGGTTTCTCTGTGTAGCCCTGGCTGTCCTGGAACTCACTCTGTAGACCAGGCTGGCCTTGAACTCAGAAATCTGCCTGCCTCTGCCTCCCAAGTGCTGGGATTAAAGGCGTGCACCACCATCGCCCGGCCAAAATTAGTTCTTAAATGGTATATAAATTTTCATTTTTGAGACACAGCCTCACTATGTAGCCTTGGCTTCACTGAAATTTGGCCTTTGCCAAATAGGCCAGGCTGACCTGGAGTTGAGCGTTCTGCCTCCTAAGTGCTAGAATTAAATGCTTGTACCACCATAGCCAGCCCTGTTTGTTTGTTTGTTTGTTTGTTTGTTTTTGTGTTGTACAGTTTAAACCTAGGGCCTTGTATATGTTGGGCAAGCGCTCTACCATTGACTTACATTCCTAACCCTTAAGGGTTCCTTCTATTTAAGTAGTGTCCATAATCTCTAGGGTGCCAGTTGTGGTGGCACACACTTACATTCCTAGTATTTAGGAGGCTGAGGCAGGAAGATTATTGTAAGTTCTAAGCTAGCCTGGGCTATGTTGTGAGTTCAAGGTAAACCTGGGCTGCATAGAAGACCTATTCAACTGCACAAACAACAAACAAAAAGGAGTATCTGGGACTGGACATGCAGCTCAGTGGTAGAGCATTTGCTTAATATACACGAAGCCCTGGGTTTACATTGAGACCTGGAAAGACAGTCTGAATATCATCGTGCATATAAATATCTTTTATAGTTTTATATGCCAAACTGATGACTAGCCTTTTTTATTTTAATACTGTTTTATGAACATTGAAATTTCAGAAAAAATGCCAGTTTCTGCAAGTATTGTACAATAAAACTTAAAACAAATGCCTCTAGTGTGTGCCGTGAGTGAGACATGGGGGGCGATCTTCAAGAGTCACGTGGTATATGTAGAGGAGGCCAGAGAAGAACTTTGGGAGTCAGTTCTCTGTCGAGACCTTGGGGACTAAACTCAGGTTGCTGGTGAGAACTTTCCCTCATCTCATCTGCCCAAGTCCTATGAGTTCTGTGTATTTAAAAGCATTAAAGGTTTTGCATTAGGGAGAGCAGGGCTGAAGAGATGTGGATATGTGCTTTATAGAGATGTCTCTGAAATTCTAAAGAAGACAAAAATTGCTTGTCTTGCTTGATTGTTTTTTTGGGGGGTGAGGGGAAATATGGAATGTTTTATTTTTCATTGTAGTGTGTGAAACAGGTGTTACTTGATGTTTAAGGGATTAAATCACAGTCTACTCGGTTGAAATTTGTTCTTTTTTTTTTTTTTTTTTTTTTTGAAAGAGTTCCTTTCTCCAAATATGTCAAGGGCTTCTGGATTCTGACTTTGGAGCCAGGTCCTATTATTAGCTTATCTCTTATCCTGCTCTTTCTCAGTGATGTCTTGAATCAGAATCTCTGTCCTTCTCTAAATAGTTAGTCAAACTAGGTCACAAAATTGCTTGCATTCTAAATAGAACCAATAACTGATATTCAAAATAAAGCTTGAGTCTCTAGATCTGGAAGCAGCATAATTATTAACATTCAGATTAGAAATCAGTAGAACATGTGCTCCTGTGTTCAATTGCCAGGATCCCACTTGACCCTTCTTCCCAAAGTCATTGATCTGTTTACCTGGGTAGAATGTAAACACCAGATAACCAGGCACTATGCCTGCCTAATTTACCACTATTTGCAATACCTTACAAATGTTTACTAAGTACATGTTTACTAAGTATTTTATGTGATAAAATGGAACTAATAATGTCTTTTTCTTTTGTTTTTGTTAGCAAGCAAGGACTTAGCACAGACATCTTACTTCATGGCAACCAACAGGTTTATATTTTTATTTTTTTCCTCTTCTGTTTTGGGGTTTGGAATTGGGTTCGGCTGGCCTTGTCACCTCTTGAGGGGTTTATAGGATCACTTAGTGAACTAGAGCCAAAAGACCGTAGAAAGAGCCTTTGCTGTAATGTGTATTATATTATAGTGTATTGTAGACAGTGCTCTGGAGAATGGATTTTACTGCAGATATTTTTTACACCTTTTAATTTGCTAGGGTTTTGTACTTATTTAGCATATATAATTCTATGCATTAACTTTGCTATAAAATGTCTAAGAACACTCCTATAATTTTGAGGTTTGTTTTCTTTTCTTTTGCCCAAGCAATGGGCACTTAGTCTACGAGGATTTGCAATATATATATTTTTAAAAAGCTATTAGTATAGAACTTGTTCTGCTAAGTGACCTGCTTGTTCTTGTGTGTGATTCCCACGTTGTTCAGTCATCCTTAGTCCAAGTGTGAGACCGTCAGCTTTAGTAAGCCAGCACTGCATACACTGAGTGTGGTGGCCCAGTCTGAGATCCCAGCACTCAGGACACAGAGGCAGGAGAATGAGTAGTTGAAGGCCATCCTCTGGAATACAGCAAGTTCAGAGCCATTCTGCACTGTCTTATAAACACAGGCAGGTAGACAGACAGACAGACAGACACATACATATACACAGACACACAAGGGAGGGGAGGAGTGATGAAACAAATTTAAAGTGAGAGTTAGGCATTATGGTCCTACAGTACTGTAATTAAGAGATAAGATTGCTGTGTTTGAGACAGCCAAAGAATGAGACTTGTCTAAAACCAAACAGAATCTTAAAAAAAACAAAACAAAACAAAGCCAATCAGGTATATTTGTGTTCGAGAGAGCAACTTTTTTTATTTTGGGGGACAGTCTCGTTGCTTAAGCCAGCCTTCAGCTTCCACTCCCATGTTTTGGGATCATGGCATCTGCTACTGTGTTGGCTTTGGTTGTTTTTCTCTTATGGTTTTGGTTTGAGACAGACAGAGTCACATTAAATAACTCTGGCAATCTTGGAATTTGCTATGTAGACTAGGCTGGCCTCAAACTCACAGAGACCCACTGGCCAGCCTTTGCCTCCCAAGTGCTAGGATTAAAGGGGTGCCTCACCAAGGCTGACTACCTAGCTCTTTTCTTTCTTTTATTTTTTGTTTTTGTTTTTTGTTCACTAATCAGTGTGTGATACTAGGACATTTAGAACTATTGTTTGCCTGAGCAGTATTTTAATAGGAAATCATATTGAGGTGCTGAAGAGATTAGTCCAGCAGCACACACAGCTCTTCCAGAGGACCTGTGTTCAGTTGCCAGCATGTGTTGTGGATGGTACACTGTCACCTGTCACTATAGCTGTAGGGGTCTAACACCTCTGGCCTCCCTGAACACCCTCACTTGTGCTTATATTCCAACAGACATGTACACATAATTGAAAGTCAATCTTTAAAAAAAAAAAGGAAAGGAGAAAATAATGTTGAATACTAAATCAGAGCACAGGATATTTCTTGCCCTTCTTGCTCTCCTGTGGTTTTTGTTTTTGGTTTTTTGATTTTTTTTTTTAAATAATGGAGAGTTTTGGTTTAGGGTTGAGAACTGAGGGCTCATGACACTCTCTGTTTCCTTCCCTCTGACGTCAGCCTGCATTTGACCACATTTAGCCTGCAGTACACACCTCCTGTGGTGGCCTGTGTCTGCATCCATCTGGCTTGCAAGTGGTCCAACTGGGAGATCCCAGTCTCAACTGATGGGAAGCACTGGTGGGAGTATGTTGACGCCACTGTGACCTTGGAACTTTTAGATGGTAAGTTTTAGTGTAAGGGACCTTGAAACGCACGCCTTGATTTGTCGCATATCTGGCCAAACATGACTTAAACAGTGAGTTAGTTGAGGTTATTCTTGTTTGATTACATTCTTGTCACTGAGCATTTCTTAACTGTTTCATTTGTAGAATTGACACATGAATTTCTACAGATTCTAGAGAAAACTCCAAGCAGGCTGAAACGTATTCGGAATTGGAGGGTAAGACTTAGTGCTAACAAACTTATCCTTTCTTTTAACTGCACTGGTGAATATACCAGAATTGGATGTGTGCACTAGGTTTGGAGTTTCCTTCTTACTTAACAGTAGTTGTGACTTTAAAGCATGAATATGAACTAAGATGTCAGTCTTTAGAGGACAAAAGACTGTAGGAGCAAGGTATGGATGGAATTAGAAGGGTCGAGTGTAATTTTCTCTTTGATATTAGCTACTTTAAAAATGTTTTAGGACTGGCGAGATAACTCATAGGTTTAGAACACTGGCTGTTCCTGCCAAGGTCCCGAGTTTAATTCCTAGCACCCGCATAGTGGCTCACGACTACCTGTATCTGATGTCTCTCTGGGACATAGATATACATGCAGATGGAGCACTCCTACATTTAAAACAAAGAAACTTTTAAAAGTATTTTATTCTCTTCCTCCTTTCATCCCTCCCCTCCTTCCTTCTTTTTAAACAGATTTATCATTACAGCTTGGCATGGTGCTGCATGCCTTTAATACCAGCACTTGGGAGACAGAGACAAGATCTCTGAGCTGGAGACCACCTGGGGCTACAGATCTGAAACCTGAGGGTGGAGAGAGGTTTATTATTTATTGTGAATGTGTATATGAGGGTTTGCCTGCATTTATGTGCTTGCAATACCCATGAAGGCCAGAGGGGTCAGATCCTCTGGAACTGGAGTTTTAAGAGGATATAAGTTGCTGTAGTTCTGGGAACAGAACACAGGGCCTCTAAAACAGAAGCACGTTCCCTTAACTGCTAAGTCATCTCTTCAGCCGGGGGTTTTCTTCTGAAATGTGTTGCATTCTGGAGTTGTAGTACAGATAGTTTAGTCTTAGGAATAATAGAGTCATTCCCTTTCCCATAGCATCCGATAGATGAACTTGGTACAAATAAGTACTCACATGCACAAGGCCCTGCATGTAATCACCAGCACCCAAAAAGAAAGAATAAAGCCTTCTCCCAGCCCTTTTGAGACAAGGTCTCATGTAGCTCCCGCTGGCCTTGAGCCTTGCTGTTATAGAGGCTGACCTTGGATTTCTGACCCTGTTGCCTCTGCTTCTACCATTTAAGTGCTGGGATTGCAATCATGTACCACCATGCATAGAAATTTCCCTTATTAATTCTTCTGAGTTCAGATTCATTCTCCTGAGTCTGGTGAATTATAGATAATTTTTGCCTCTGGAAGTTAGAAGTGGACTTGAGAGCATGTGCTTAATCTTTTATTTTCATACAAAACCTCATCACATTTTCTAGAATTATTTAAAGACCAACTGCAGCCCTAAGTCGTTATACTGAATGTTTAAGTGGTTTTATTTTCTGGGTGTGACAATGAATGTCTTTAAGTACTAAGGAGGTAGAGATAGGAGGGTCTCTGAGTTTGAGACATGTCTGGTCTCAGAAACAAAAACAAAGCCCCCACCTCCAGTACACACACAGAACACAAAGCCGTCAGAAAGTTCTCATTGGCAGATGGTCCCTTCTGCTGACACCTAGTAAATGGTTGGAGTAAGATTGATTTGCTTCTCTCTAGGCGTACCAGGCTGCCATGAAAACCAAGCCAGAGGACCGAGGAGCAGACGAGAACACATCAGAGCAGACCATCCTCAACATGATTTCTCAGACCTCTTCAGACACGACGATTGCAGGTCTGATGAGCATGTCCACTGCGTCTTCGAGTGCAGTGCCTTCCCTGCCTGCTTCTGAGGAGTCGTCCAGCAGTCTGACTAGTGTGGAGATGCTGCAAGGCGATCGATGGCTGTCTTCCCAACCTCCCTTTAAACTAGAAGCTTCTCAGGGTCATCGGACTAGTGAGAATTTAGCACTTATTGGAGTTGATCATTCCTTGCAACATGATGGTTCGAATGCATTTGTTTCCCAGAAGCAGACTAGCAAGAGCGCGCCATCAGCTAAAGTTACACTTAAAGAATACCGTGCAAAGCACGCAGAGGAGTTGGCTGCTCAGAAGAGGCAGCTGGAGAATATGGAGGCCAATGTGAAGTCACAGTATGCATATGCTGCCCAGAATCTCCTGTCTCATGACAGCCATTCTTCAGTAATTCTGAAAATGCCCATTGAGGGTGCAGAAAATCCTGAACGTCCTTTTCTGGATAAGGCTGACAAATCAGCCCTGAAAATGAGACTCCCAGTGGCTAGTGGAGATAAAGCAGGCTCTTCGAAGCCAGAGGAGATAAGAATGCGCATTAAAGTGCACTCTGCAGGCGATAAGCACAACTCTGTAGAAGACAGTGTCACAGCCAAGAGCCGGGAGCACAAAGAGAAGCAGAGGACTCACCCGTCTAACCACCACCACCACCACAACCACCACTCACACAAGCACGCTCACTTACAGCTGCCGGTCGGCCCTGGGAGCAAGCGCCCAAGTGATCCAAAACACAGCAGCCAGACAAGCGCCGTAGTACACAAAACCTACAGCCTGTCTAGTGCTCCATCTTCTTCCAGCTCTGCTCGGAAACGGGCTCCCCCGGAAGAGGCGGGGGCAGCAGTGTTTGATCATCCAGCCAAGATTGCCAAGAGTACTAAATCTTCCTCCTTGAATTTCCCCTTCCCCCCTCTTCCTACAATGACCCAGTTGCCTGGGCATAGCTCAGACACAAGTGGCCTGCCCTTTTCACAGCCTAGCTGTAAAACTCGAGTTCCTCATATGAAACTGGATAAAGGCCCTCCTGGGGCTAATGGTCACAACACAACTCAGTCAATAGATTATCAAGACACTGTGAATATGCTCCACTCCCTGCTTAGTGCCCAAGGTGTTCAGCCCACTCCACCCCCTGCATTTGAATTTGTTCATTCTTATGGTGAATATATGAATCCTAGAGCTGGTGGCATCTCTTCCAGATCTGGCAATACAGACAAACCTCGGCCACCACCCCTCCCGTCAGAACCCCCTCCACCACTTCCACCTCTTCCTAAGTGAAAAAAAGAAAAAAAAAAGAGGCAAAAACTTCAAAAACAAAAAACACTTTTTTTTTTTTGCTTTGTTTTGACTACTGATACTAGACTACGAAATTTACACCCCTTAATGAATTGTCACCTTAGGAATAAATTGCTATTGAGACAGGTGGGAGGGTGGTGGAGGGCCTCAGATACCCTCTCTGCTGCCTCGTACGTCTATAGTTTGTACTGGTGTTAGAGAGGTGGGATTGTGTGGAAGCTGTGAAGGATTAAGAACACTCTCTGTTCTCGGCCTCTCCTCATCCTAGTTAGGTTGATTGGAGTAGTTCTCTTCCCTCTTCTTGCCAGAACTGAAATGTGGAGGGCATAGCAAACAGTTGTGGATTCTTTTGGTGTTTAACATATCAGAAGAGAGGGAGTATTTAAACGTCAAATCTTTAAGAGACTTTTAAAAAAATAATTTAAAGAAAGTAAGTTATCTGTTTAGTTTCTTTTTTTATATAATTGGGAGGGGGAAAGGGATTTTGCTGTGTATATGAGGAACATAGCAATGACCTGTTGGGGGGAAGGGGTTGGAGGGTGGGAATGTGTGCAGGGAGGGGGGTAGGCTCTTGGCCAAGAGTGAAATAGGCTCAGGCCACTTGAAGTATTAAGATCTTTAAAGTGTGTGTGCGGGTGTGTGTGTCTGTGTGTGTGTGTGTTTAAAATCATGTTGTTACCTTTTTCCTCCCACTTGTAACCATTTTGGTATTTCAACATTCTACTAGAGAGCACAGTTGGCCTTGAAGCTCTGAAGAGGCATGATTGACAGTGTGATTTCCTCCCTTCACCACAGGCTGATGTAATGGAGTAGCAGCCCCCTAGCTTCTAGTTGGGCAGGTGTGGCCAGTGACCATCCTGGGAACTTCCCTGTTACTCCTTTTTGTGTTTTCAATGCAGAATGGAGGTGGGCTTGAGGAAGAAGCCTATAAAGCAAGGCCGGCCTCTCCCCTTCAGAGTTGGACCTTTTCAGGTTGGGCTTTTCGAAAGCTCAGGTCTCTGAAGGGAAGAAGGGTGTGCTTTGTGTGTCCTGTCTGAAAGACCAGACCATGTGTGTTAGTGATAATAGGATTGGGAGAAGCCAAGGAGTTAATGATACTAAAGACAATGAAATTGTGATTTGAGATTCTGAAGACTTCGTGTTTAAGTTACATTATGAATGTAAGACTTGCTTTTTATCTGTTTATCTACTGGGAAACAACTGCATCCTTGCAGTTTACAGCCTATTTGACTTCGGAGACAAGTTTGAATGAAACAGCATTGGTATAATGAGTGAGCACGCCTAGTCAGCAGACACTGCTGTGTTTAGATTATTTCTTAGTGGGTGGCTTTTGATTCCAGACAGAGATTCTTAAAAGACCTTAAAAAAAGTGGATCAGGAATCCTGTTACAGGGCTTGATTGTTCCAGACATTAGAAGTAAATATTTCTGACGAAGGAAATCTTGAAAAAATACTGACTAAAAATTGTAAGCCAAGCTGTCTAACTGAAAAATGCTACCTAGCCACAGATCATTGCTGTTATTTGGTTCATTGCATGAGTGTGTGTGTGTGTGTGTATGCATATATACATGTATATATATACACATATGTGTGTGTGTACACACATGTGTATGTGTAGGTTTTTTTGGCTATGGATAAGATGGTGCTATGAAAATAATTTGTCTCTTGTTTTAATTAATGAAGCTTCTGTCATGCAAAGTAGTCTTTAGGGAGGAGTCAGATTCTTTTCATTGAAAGTCATAGGGAAACAGAAGTTGTACAGTGCTGCTTGCCAAGAACAGACTAGGAAAAACACCGAGGCAGTCACTATTGCTGATATACTGGCCCAATAGAGGAAGGAATGTATAGGAAGGAATACATCTTAGGGTGACTCTGTGGTTCTTAATCTGCATGTTTGAATTGTCTGGAGTGCCTGCCATTGCTGTGCAAAACAAGGAGCTCCTTGCTGAGAAACGAGTGTATTTCTTGGTGTGTAGCTTTTAAAGTAACATCTTTTTTTCTCGGTATTTCCTGTGTTGTGCAAGATAGATGTGTCATTGTGATTACTAAATTTAGGCTTGGTATTTGTTTAGATTTTGTTTTCCATCCTGACCTTCCCAAACGGGAATGTACCCTTTAGTTTGCATCTTTGTCTGGAATTGATGATTTGATTTGGGAACATAGCTGTTTCTTTAATTACTCTCATTAATGTCACATGCAGTCCCTTGCCACAGAGGCTATCATATTTGCTGTCAAAGCATTTCTTCACAGTAATAATGTAGTTATGTTTCTTAGAACTGTCTGTAGTGGACTAGGAATAACTGCTTACTAGAGCCTAAAGAGCTACTTCATCCGTAGTCTGGTCTTTACTGTAGCTCAGCACTGAGTTTGGTTAGTTTAGAGACTTTTCCTATATTAGTTCCTCCTGGTACTGTCTGTAGATAGATGCAGTGTCTGCTTCTACGTCTGTGCATAGATCCTGAACCTCCCTCACGGGCTCTGCATGAACTGCTACATTGCATTATTTTGGGGTAGCAGATACACCTGCCAGCTAGCATGCATATTGTCCAGTTTCTGTATAAATAAGGCTTCGAAGCCATGTGTGTCTCCTCCCTTCAGACCTTCAAAGGGTGAGAAATAGTATTTGTATATCTAAAGTCAGCCATGTAAACATGGCTCTTTGTTTTTTTCTTTTAATCTAAACAGTCAAGAAGAAATGAGAGTGGTAAGCAGGCTTGGAGCCTTGACTTCTGTAAATTTCATTCCTAAGAGTTTGCTTGACTTTTACATTGGCAGAAATAAATACCTGTGGATTGTCTTTAGGGCTTTTAGTCATATACCTGTGTTATTGGCTAAACTCTGGTGAATCATTAACCTAAAACCAGTGTGGTCTTCTGAAGTATCCAGTTAATGCCTTTTGGGTTTAGAAAATACCTAAGTATTAGTCTCCTTTTCTCATCCGTGAATCATTGTGTCTTTGTATCTGAGACTCAGCAGCTTTTCCTTGTAAATGATTGTAGTGTTTTGGTTTAGTGTATCCTACATATTTCTTATATTATTAGGTTCACCAGTGGTGATAGAAAAATTGAGTATCTCCAATTGCAAACAGCAGTAGATTTGAATATTGAAACAGAATCATGGTAACATCACTGCTGGGGTCCCTGAAGCCTTTGCAGCGTGATTCACCTCACACCGCGCTTCTAGACAAAGGCAGTTGGAGGGTCCTATCTATCCTAGTATGGTTGGAATCTAAATATATGTGTTTCCATTATTTTGGGAACTAATTATTTTTTTAAAGATTTTTTTCTTTTGTTGATGAGTTATTTTGATACTCATGCTAGGAAAAGGGAGAAACAAAACCATCTTGAGATTGGAATGCCTATTTTATTCTCCTGAGTTTGGGAGAACTTAAGCAGTCTATGCAACCCATCAGATAGTGAGAAATAGCTTTCTGCCATTCCACTGAGCTTTCAGTGACTCTCATACGTCCTCACATGTCTTGGCGCTGATTGAGGTTTGGATCTTGATTCTTAGGAAGCAATTCTCACTGCACTACACTGTCATTTCTTTCTTTCCCCTCAGTGGATGGAAGCTTGAAAGAAGCATGGTACTGTGATCTTACCTGATGGAGTGGTCTAAATTCACAATTGTTTCCTAAGTGGGTGAGCTCTCCGTTTTAGTATTCTAAAGTTGATAATATGAACTTGGCAATGGAAAGGGGAAGGAAAATAATGTTTAATAAAAATCAGTGTCTACTCTTTCCCTTTATGAGTGTGTATTCCTGGTTGTATGAAGAGGAACTCGTGGGTTTGTGTTGCCATGTGAATGTCGAGAGGGATGCTTGACAGCACGTTAACTGAAGCCAGAGCAAGAGCAAGTGTGTCTGCCGTCAGGTGATCCGGAAATGCCGGTGTATGCCGAGAAAGTGATTAGCGGATGGCCATAGTGAAATCACAAAGCAGAAGGGCTGTCTGTCCTACGAACCCAAGCAAACAGTGCGGCGGCCTCATGCAGGTGTGATTGAGGTTCTGAACTGGAACTGGTCTGTATCACCTGACTTTCCACATGTAAAACTGTCCATATTCCTATCAGACCAAAGAACAAAAAGAAAAAAAATGAAAAAGCAAAGTAATACACTTTTACCGGTTTATGTCACTCAGGTACAATTTTGTGGTGAGGTTTTGTTTTTTTTTGTTTTTGTTTTTTTGTCTGATTTTTTTACTGCTCAGCAAATTATTCTGCTGTTGCCTCTGTCCTCCATGGGGCACCTCGGTTTGGGTGCTCCTCCTGGGATCTCTACTGCTGTTAGGTGAATGACCATAGGATGGAAGTGACCATTATCATAAGGGCTCTTTATAAAAAACCTTAAAAACACAAAAAAAAATTTTAAAGAAGGATATTGTATACATTTTATAGTCTGGCTATCAGTTTGATATCTTGCTGTCAAGTATGTTTCTCAATCTGTATTTATCCATCCCATCAATAAACGTTAATGATAAAACACCTGATCCTTGCTTGTATGTTCATGTCTTTAAACTAGTCTTTATTATTTTGTTGAATCATTACCACTCTGCTTTGGTTTTAATAGTATTATGTTCCTGTCTCACAATATCCTATGGATATTAAATCTGTTGGGAAGATCTGAGATTTAACTTTAACAATGAACCTGGTGAATGAAGTATGTTGTAGGCAGAGGGGAAACTTTCATGCTGTTCTGTTGTCTGAGTGCCTGGAAGAGTGTTAAAAAATAGCTTTAATATATAGCAACACTAAACCACTCACTTAGCAAGCACCAAGACACAGCTGAACTGTTATCTTTGGTAGACAGTATGTTTTTATCCAAGACAGAGTTTCACTGTGTAGCCCATCTGGCCTCAAACTGCTACATTCTCTTGCTACATCCAAGATCTTGAGTTATGAGATATATTGCTGGCATGGACTACCATGCCTAGCAGGAGTGTATTTTGAAGAGAAGTTACATTTCTTAGTAACTTGGAAAAGCTGTGAATACTACATAGGGTAGGTCTTACACAAAGGGAAAGAACCTCTATGCACAAATACTTGAAACTTCAGGATTACCAGTAGTTTTAAAACATTAAAAGGAGGGCTGGAGAGGTGGCTCAGCGGTTAAGAGAGCTGACTGCTCTTCCAGAGGTCCTGAGTTCAATCCCCAGCCACCCACATGGTGGCTCACAGCCATCTGTAATGGAATCCGATGCCCTCTTTCTGGTGTGTCTGAAGACAGCTACAGTGTAGTCATGTAAGTAATTCTCTTGAAAAAAAAAAAAAAAGGCCAGAGCAGTGGCTCATGGGTAAAGGCATGCAATGCCGACCTCAGTCCCTGGCATCCACATGGTAGAAGAGAACTGACTCACTGGTTTCATTCACTCTTTAATCTCCATATATATGCTTCCCCATACCCAAATAAGTATAATAAAAACTAAGCAGAAGAGACTTAAAAATGATTTATTTTTATTTCATGTGTGTTGGTGTTTTATCTGTATTTGTCTGTAAGTGTGTCAGATCCCCTAAAACTGGAGTTACAGCTATGAGCCTACATGTAAGTGCTGATAATTGAACCTAGGTACTCTGGAAGAGCAGCCAGTGCTTTTAAGGGCTGAACTATCTCTCCAGCCCTATGGGCAAAGAACACATATTGAAAACGAATGAGTTTTGATCTTTCCTTATTTTGAGGGCAGAATCACTGTATAGGACTGGTTATAACTCTAACCAAAGATGGGCTCAAACTCAGCTCCTGCCTGAGCCTTCAGCCTATCAACATGACAGGTAGCTACTGCATTTGGCTTTTTTTTTTTTTTAAATCATGTGTTCCAGCTGGGTGGTGGTGGTGCACGCCTTTAATCCCAGCACTTGGGAGGCAGAGGCAGGCGGATTTCTGAGTTCGAGGCCAGCCTGGTCTACAGAGTGAGTTCCAGGACAGCCAGGGTTACGCTACACAGAGAAACCCTGTCTCGAAAAACCAACCCCCCCCAAAAAAAAACATCATGTGTTCCAAGTGTTTTGTCTGCATGCATACCTATGTACTGTGTGTGTCTGTATCCTTCAGGCCAGAAGCTCTTCTGGAAATGGAATTAGCTGGGTATGAGCTGGCTCAGTGCTTTTAAAGCATTCTCACTTTTTGCAAAGGTGCAGAAGACTAGCTTCAGTTCCCAGCACTCACATGGGCTCATACTACCTTTAACTCCCAGTTAACATCCCAGAAGGGGTACCCCCTTGTGACCTCTGTGGTCACCAGTAATGTCCAAGGTGCAGGCAAACACTCAAAGTGTAGATAAACTGGGCACTGGGAGATTTCCAGCAACAGAATTTTCACCCAGCTTAGGTTAAAAGATGTTCTTTTGGGGTGCTATATGGAATAGATTCAAGGGTGAAGGTTCTCAACAATTTAAGTCAGACACCGGTGGCTCCAAAAAGTTCACAAGTGCTGAAGGTAATTTGAATTGTAATATATCTTGGAGATAGAGTCAGTGGCATTTGCTCTAAGGTAGAAGGCAGGTCAAGGAGGACTCCATGTTTGACCTGACCAACTGCAAGGATAGATTTTACTGTTTATGGCAACAGGGGGAACAGGAAAATGGCCTTAATATTAAATCTTAAGTTTCATGGAGACATTTTATGGTGAGGACTACTGGATAGATGGCTGTAGAGTGTCATCCAAGCAAGGTCCAGGATGGTAGTGGTACCTACTTGGGAGTCAGAAGTTTCTGCATGGGATAGAACGTTGAGATAACCAAGAGAGACGGTAGAAAATGTAGAATTCAGAACTTAGGGTTGGAGGAAGATAAACAAGAGACTCAAATGACACCAAAAATGGGTGACTGAGGAAAATGGTGAATAAAGAGTAGAGAGAGCTAGAAAATGTATTTAAGAAAGGCTCAGTGGGTTAAGTGCTGGAATGCGAGCACGAGGCCTCGAGGTCTGATCTGCACCCGTGTATCGGTGGGGTATGGCGATACACCTGTAACTCCAGTGCTGGAGTGGAGGGAAGCTGGAGACAGGCAGATCCTGGAAGCTTGCTGGTTAGCCAGCTAGACTGCAAGTTCCAGAAACAGCGAGAGAACACTAGAAGTTAATGACACCTGGTCCCTATATTGACAAGCAAAGGTAAGCTCACCTGTGAAAGTGTGCCCACACGTAGGCACAAGTTGCTGAACATGTACACTAGTATATGAGAAGCTAAGGCAGAAGGATTACCGTTGCTTTGAGGCCAGTCTGGGCTACAGAGAGACTGTTTCTCTAGGCAGGGAAGAGATTCAGTGTGTTAGATATTATAACCTAGTCTTAGAAAGCCTAGAAGCTTCATTTGAATTAAAGTGAAAAAAAAAAGTCGTATGTAAGCTTGGGGGTCAGTTCCCCATGGAGAGAATCCTAACCAGAGAAAACTCGAGAGTAAGAGATCTGGGAATGATAACACATGTGTAACCCCAGCACTAAAAAAGCTGAGGCAGGATAGTAGCTATTTGAGGCAAGACTGAGCTGTATAAGGAGATCATAGCTTAGGTACAGCAATAGGAACAGGAGAAGAAGCAAGGTAAACGTTATTTTTAAGTGGGAGAAATTACATCATGTACATATGTACCTTAGGGCTTCTATTGCTGTGAAGAGATGCCATGACCACTAACTCATAAAGAGCAACATTTAGTTAGGGTTGGCTTTCAGTTCAGAGGTTTAGATCATTATTGTCGTGGTGTGAAGCATGGTGGCATGCAGACCATCATGATGCTGGAGAAGGAGCTGAGAGTTCTACTTCTGGATCTGAAGGCAGCCCAAGAGGACTGAGACACACTGGGTATAGTTTGAGCACAGGAGACCTCAAAGTCCACCCAACAGTGTTACACCTCCTCCAATAAAGCCATACCTAATAGTGCCATTCCCACTGGGCCAAACATTTAAACACCTCAGTCTATGGGGGCCATACCTAGGCAACCCTCCCACCAGTATGTTTTTGGAAGATTCAGAAAACAGATGTGGAGTGATGTCCTTGAGTAGGTGACACAGAATTGAGTGCACAAATGGAGGGCTTTACATCCAGTGGGACCAAGGCCACTTAAATCACAATGGTCTGAAAGAAAAAAATAAAAAAGACTATAAATTGCAGGCTCGTGATAAGCTTACGCAGTACAAAGGAAGGGACCAGGCTTGAAGTTCACATCTGGGAGATACCAGCCTGGGGCTGCAAAAGGGGGAAACAGTGAAATGCCCCGAACTTAGAGATCGGGAGCTCAGTGGGTAACAGTGCGAGCTGTGGGGAGCTGACTTCCAGTCTTCAGCGCTTGTGAAGTAGGCCTGGTGTGGCTCCCTGTGCCTGAACCTCTGGTGCTGTGGGGGTGGGGCGAGGGCAGAGACAGAATTATTGCTCAAAGGTTTGAGAGCTCTAGCAGCCGAGCCTCATGAAGGCTGCTCATACCTTCATATCACACGATAGTGAGAACTCAGTTTTCAAAATTGTTCTCTGAATTACATACATGACTTTCCCCAGTAAACAAGCAAACAATTTCTTATTTTACTTTCCATTTTTTTAATGAGAGAAAAATAGTTCTTTTTTTTTAGATTTATTTACTTATTTCATTATGTATTTCATGTATAGGAGTGCTCTATCTGCACGGATGCCTGCATAACAGAAGAGGGCATCAGATCATATTACAGATGGTTGTGAGCCACTAGGTGGGTGCTGGGAATTGAACTCAGGTCCTCTAGGAAGAACAACCAGTGCTCTTAACCGCTGAGCTATCTCTCTAGTCCCCAAATAATTTGTTTAAAATGGTGCATTCCAGGTTCAGTGAGACCAGATCCTGTCTTTGACCGCAGAGACCCTTTGCCTCTCTCCATAGTGTGCAGATTACTGGTGTGTGCTACCGCAACTGGTGGCTTTTTCATCTTTTGTTTTGTTTTTGGGATGAGAGATACTTTCTTTTTTTATTTTGCTTTTGAGACATGGTTTCTCTGTGTAACCCTGGCTGTCTTGAAACTGACTTTGTAGACTAGGCTGGCCTGGAACTTAGAGATCTGCCTGCTTCTGTCTCCGAAGTGCTGGGATTAAAGGAGTGTGCCACTACTGCCAAGTAAGGGATACTATCTTATGAGAACAAGGCAGAGAGCCACTGGATTTCTATACATGTGGTTGGAATCTTTAAAGAATCGTGAAAACGGAATAGCCTGCTGTTTCTATAATACACTATTCGGCGGGGAGTTTGAGAGAGGCATGCACTATGCCAGAACTCATTTTGATTTTCCGTCTCTTTATCCGAAAATAATGTCTACCTCTTAGGGCTGCTCTACAAAAATTAATTAATACATATGATTCTCGAGACAGCAAGAGTTCGAGCGTTTACATGAAATGACCAAAAAAATTAGCTGAACTGTTCACAACAGAAAACTAATAAAACATTTTCGTGTGTAAACAGAAAACACGGTCAGCCACTGCCCAGTTTTCTGCTGTGTAGGGACGGTAAAGAGGTAGCTTCCCGAGAAGACTGGAGACCATCGC